GCAGCTTTTTTTTTTTTTTTTTTAAGATTTTATTTATTTATTTGACAGAGAGAGATCACAAGTAGGCAGAGAGGCAGGCAGAGAGAGAGAGAGGGAAGCAGGCACCCTGCTGAGCAGAGAGCCCGATGTGGGACTCGATCCCAGGACCCTGAGATCATGACCTGAGCCGAAGGCAGCGGCTTAATCCACTGAGCCACCCAGGTGCCCCCAGGATGGCCATTCTTATGCTAACCCACTCTTACAGTGCAAGGTGCCAGCTTTTGCTTTGCCAAGATGGCTGTACTTATGTCAGGGCTAGACTCAAGGTGGGTACAGCCTTGTTTTTCTTGGCCTCCACACCTGGAGCTGGTCTCCGGAACTTGTTTTTAAGTCCCCTGGGGGAAGGGGAGCAGGGACAGTAAAATAGGTCCTTACACTAGAATTTGTTTTCTCTTCCTTTCCCTTCTTTGTTTTGTTTTGTTTTGTTTTTAAGATTTTACTTATTCATTTGACACAGAGAAAGAGAGAGACAGCGAGAGAGGGAACGCAAACAGGGGGAGTGGGAGAGGGAGAAGCAGGCTTTCTGCTGAGCAGCGAGACCAATGCCGGGCTCGATCCAGCAGAGCTGGAACCATGACCTGAGCCGAAGGCAGACGCTTAATGACTGAGTCACCCAGGTGCTCTTTTCCCCCCTTTTTAAATACTTACCAAACTGCAGTTATCTGACACCTCTCTTATAATGATGATTTCTCCATGAATGCTCAAGGTAGTTCTGCAAACAGTCCCTTCCGACTGTATCATATGTACAACTCAAATAGAAAAGAAAAGAAAAAAGTGCCAAGGTCAAATTTTCCGTGGTAATTTTCAATTTACCCATTCATTCATCTATCCTCTTAAGAAACACGTGCAGAATTCTGGAAAGAGCATGTTGTATAGCATTTGAAGGAAATAAAACAGAGTGTTCTTGCCTAGGATTGGAGAAGTGGAAGGTGGGAAGAGTGTGGTAGATAGTATCTATAACAAGAAACAACTAGTCAACTGAAACAAGTTCATTAGGATAGCACATTTCCAACTTGGACGCCAAGGGCTTAGAGAACCTCTACTCACCTGGTCACTAAAATTTTACTAAGCATAGAGTAATTAACACAAACTAAGGGAGAGATTGGTTAGTGTAAATTGAAGTTATTATAGAAATTTTTGTGTGAACAGCAGTCTTCAAATTGGGGTCCTCATACCTCTAGGGGAACATGAGTATTTTCCAAGAGGATCCAAGTTCTAGAGTGACCAACTGTCCCAGTTCATCCAGAAAGGTCTTGGTTTTATTTTTTTAAATTTTTTAATTAACTAATTCTTTTAAAAAAGATTATTTAACAGACAGATCACAAGTAGGCAGAGAAGCAGGAAGAGAGAGAGGAGGAAGCAGGCTCCCTGATGAGCAGAGAGCCTGATGCGGGGCTCGATCCCAGGACCCTGGGATCATGACCTGAGCTGAAGGCAGAGACTTTAACCCACTGAGACACCCAGGCACCCCATCTTGGTTTTAGTACTAAAAGCCTCATATCCCAGGAAACCTCTCAGTCCCTATGGCTGGATCTCAACTTACCTATTTCCAGCTCCCTAAAGCTGATGTGCCAGAGACTTTGCCTGGTTTTCCTTTCCCACCACTGACATTTTCAGCAGTGCCCTTCTCTCACTTTATACAAGCCATGACCCTTACTCAATCCTAAATTTATTACGACTTGTCCTGGAGTGAAAAAACCTCTGGGTCACCTGAAGAAAAAAAAAAGACAATAAGAAATATATATTATAAAGAATTCATTTATTTGAGAGAAAGAGCACAAGGGCGTAATGGGAGGAGAGGCAGAGGGACAAGCAGACTCCCACTGAGCCGAGAGCCCGATGTGGGGCTTGATCCCATGACCCTGAGATCACGACCTGAGCCAAAGGCAGACATTTAACTGACTGAGCCACCAAGGTGCCCCGACAGTTAGAAATATCGATAATGGGCACCGCCTCCTTTAATATAGGAATCCTAGCTCCTTGGAAGGGCATCTCATCTTTCAGCCACATATTGTGATGGTTAATTTTAAGTGTCAACTTGACTGGGCCACGGGGGGCCGTATATTTACTTAAACATTATTTTGGGTGTGTCTGTGAGGGTGTTTCTGGATGAGGTTAATATCTGGATTGGTAAACTGAGTGAAGCAACTTGCCTCCCTAACATGGGCAAGCCTCATCCAGTCACGGAAGGCCTGAATAGAACCAAAAAGGCAGAGTGAGGGAGACTTCACTCTCGTTGCCTGATTATCTTCAAGCTGGGGCATCAGTTTTCTCTTGCCTTTGGACTCAGATTTGCACTGGAACTGACACCATTGGCTCTCCTCGTTCTCAGGCCTTCGGACTTGGGCTGGAACGATGCCGTTAGCTCTCCAGGTATCTAGCGTGCTGACTGCAGACTTTCGGGCTGGTTACCCTCCATACACACAAGATCCAATTCCTTTTTCTTTTTATTTAATTTTTTAAAAAAATTTTGTTTAAGGATTTTATTTATTTATTTGACAGAGAGATCACAAGTAGGCAGAGCGCAGGCAGAGGGGGAGGGAGAAGCAGGCGCCCGGTTGAGCAGAGAGCCTGATGTGGGGCTCCATCCCAGGACCCTGAGATCATAACCCGAGGCGAAGGCAGAGGCTTAACCCACTGAGCCACCCAGATGCCCCAGGATCCAATTTCTTGTAATCAATCTCTGTCTACCTATTTATCGATCACTATACATAAGTATACACAACCATATGTCACTAAGAATAGACAACTTAAATGAAACGGATACTTTTTTGGAAAGACACCAATAGGATATAGCTCTATCATTTATCTCTCTAGATATAGACGCCATCATAAAGAAGAACATGCTTAGATATAAATAATAGTTGCACTTAACCTGTGAGTAAACTGGAAAACAGTGAATTTACACTTTAAATGGGTGGATGGTATGGTATGTGAATTATACTCCCTAGAGCTGTTGAGAAAATAGTTATTAAAACCTAGAAGTGTAGCCCAAGGGTGGAAATGGTATAGAATGTGAGCCACTGCTCAGAGAGCAAAAGGAAACAGGACCTTGAAGACAAAGGCCAGCTGAGAGAGGCCGTGTGGTTGGCGGGAACCCTGGATGTAGGAGGCGGTGGGAACTGTGAAATATACAGGCAGGGAGGAGGGGAAGGTTAGGTCCTGACGGGGAGACTGGGTGCCCCAAGGAATTAGGTCTGCTTTAGTTTTGTCAAGGGCCAGCCTTTGGATGATCTCTGAAAGAAGGTCCTAGAGCCTTGAGGCGGAGAGTGTATTATGTCAGCACCTGACCTTTATGACATCCGCACTTGGTGCCAGGGAGAGCTGCCCCCAGGGCATGGGGCTCATAGTTCCCAAGGGGGGCGGCAACGCCGCCCCTTAGACAAAGTTCAGTCTCCCAGAAGTTCTCACTAGCCAGCCACAGGGTTGCTGCTGCTGCTCCTGCTTCTGCTGCTGGGCATGCTGAGGGCCCGGCAGAGCCAGAGGACATCAGCATCAGGGGCGACAAGGAGTCAGGGAAACCAGAGGGGCAGGAAATGAGGATGCTGGCAGAATCCCTGACTCAGATTGAGGGGAGCAAAAATTGGTAACGGAAGACCTCCTCCTGGCTGAAGGACCACCGAGGGCAAGGTTCAGACAGAAATCTGGGTCAAAGTGAGTTTAGGGTGACAGATGCTATGGATAGAGGGTGTGTATCCACCATTTTGTGACGCTTCCTCTCTCTCCCAGGTTCCTCATTGCTGAAGTGCCTTGTGAAACCCAGCTCAGAGGAACCCTCACTGGTAAGAGCTCGCAGCACCAGAACACCCCAATTTCTAGTCCTATCTCCGCGGCCATCCTCAAGCCCCCTCCTCTAATGCCATTCGACCTCCCCACCCCCATCCTTCTCCTCCTCATCTCTCGCCTTCCCTGGAGCATTTTGCCAGCTCTTCGGACCCCAAAGGTGACGTGGATTTAGGGTCTTAGTAAATCAGTTTTTTTCAGAGCCAGAAGTGGACCAATTCTCCCAATACCTTAGATTCTGTTTCTTTCTCTACAGGTCCAATGGGCTGTGTCTTCCTCCCCGGCGCACCCAGATTACTGCTGCGGATCCTCAGCTAACAAGAGGAAGCTCTGGTTTTCCATCCCTACACATCCCTCACCGATGGCTGACGGCCAAGCAAGAGGCCAAGTTTAGACCCAAGCTCCGGCCCACACACTCAGAGAGCCTAGTGCTACGGGCGGGGTGTCTCCTTGTCCTGCCACCCACAGCTGCACCAGCACCGGGCCGGAGCCAAGCTTGCACACAGAAGGCCCTGATTTCTCAGCCAGCTCTGGCCTCAGAGACACTGGCCCTGACTCTGCCAGGTCTCTCCTCTCTGGTCTTGAGGCAGCCCCCCCACCCGCCCCCACCCCTGCCCCGCATCCCTTCTGAACTCAAGGCAATGGAGCCTCAAAATAAGGACCAGGTGCTGCTCCAGAACACAGCGGCCGCTGGGCACCCCCCTCTGGGCCCCTCGCAACTTGTGGACTCCCCACCCAGCCACCCACAGCCTCTGCCTCCCCAGCGAAGGCCCCCTCTCTCCTACTCCCCTTGCTCCCCGGGGACCCCACGGTCCCACTCTCCTGGCTCCCGTTTCTACTCTTCTGACTCAAATTCTGACTTTATCCTACACCCTCACTCTTCCTCTCTCCCAAGTTCCCCCAGCTTCTTTCATCAGAATTACACCTCTCTCTCCCTCCCACCCTCTTCCTCTCCCTCCCAGGGGCGGTACCCCTCCCCGGCTCACACCCATTCCTCCTCTCCCTCTCAGCCCCAGAACACCTCTCTCCCCCACACTCATTGTCAGTCTCCCTCCCCCGCAGAAGACTGCCCTAGCTCCACTGTCACTTCCCCATCCCCCAGCCTACCTTCTGGTGGTGTCCACTCAAAGAGGCAGGCGTGGCCCCGGGATCAGTACGGGGACACCAGGTCCTCTGGGCTGGTGGGGGAATGCGTGGCAAGCGAGAAGGACCCTGCGGAGTTCAGGGACCCAGGAGCCCTGGCCCAGGCCCTGGTGGCCCATCTGGGGCACCGCCGCATTGCTCTCGACCTGGAGCTACTGCTCTTGCAGCGTATGTGGCTGGGCAGACCTGGCCCAGCCCCCGTTGTAGAATATCCCATATGCCTGGTGTGCCTCAAGCCCCGCAGCCCCTCTTGCCCCATCCCCAGGTACAGGACTGGCCCCCGGCTGCTTGCCTTCCTCCAGCTACTGCCCTGTGCACAAGGCCAGGAATCCGGACGACTCCGCATAGGCATTGGTTTTGGCCTCCGCCTGCCTCGGGGCCAGGCCAGGGCCTTGCACCTGTTGCCCGAAAGAAGGCCAGAGGCAGCAGGGCCTCAGGGCAAGGCTGTTCAGGCCCATGGATGTCAAACCCAGGCGTCCCCGGCTCTGGCAGCTCAAGCACCAGTGGCTCAGGCGCAGGCAGGTCCAGCCCGGGGCGCAGCCTCCCAGACCACCAGCCTCAGATCTGCAGGCCTTCAATCACCAAACTCTACATGCTTTTCGGGGCCTCAGCCTCAGGCACCCAAACAGGCCACCATCTACCCGAAACCCGGGCCTTCCTCTGCGCCCAAGAGGCCAGTCTCTCCAGAACCCATTCTCCGAAAGTCACCAGCCTCGTTCCGGAGCCAAGGAGGCTCTCTGGAGTATCTCCTCTGAACCCTGCTGTCCCCACCAGGCCCCAAATGTTGGGGAGCCCCCGAGACACCCTGAAGGGCTGGCTGGCAGGTGGTCAGGTGTGTTCTCCAACGTTGAACCCTGGGAGCCCTTTGTGGAATCTGCTCTCTCCTGGCTGAAGAGGATGAATAGCACCTTAGACCCCATTCAGCCTCTAGCGTGTCAATAAAAGCCTGACCCTGCAAACGTGTGTGAGTGTCTGATGTGGAAATGTCGGGGTTTGGAGAGAACAGTCAAGAAAGAATTTTTTTTTTTTTTTAAAGATTCATTTATGTACTTTACAGACAGAGGTCACAAGTAGGCAGAGAGGCAGGCAGAGAGAGAGAGGGGAAGCAGCCTCCCCGCGGAGCAGGGAGCCCAATGTGGGGCTCGATCCCAGGATCCTGGGATTGTGACCCGAGCCAAAGGCAGAGGCTTTAACCCACTGAGCCACCCAGGCGCCCAAGAAAGAATTTTTGAGACGTCCTTGGTGCAAAAAGGTGTTTTTTTTTTTTTTTTAAGAAATTATTTTAAGAAAATTTTTATTTAACAGAGAGAGTGCTCCAAAAGGTGGTTTTATTAAAGCATGGGGACAGAGGGCTGCCTGGGTGGCTCAGTCAGTCAGGCGGCTGCCTTGGGCTCAGGTCATTATCCCTGGGTCCTGGGATCCAGCCCCGCATCAGGCTCCCTGCTTGGTGGGAAGCCTGCTTCTCCCTCTCCCACACCCCTGCTTGTGTTTCCATTCTCTCTGTCAGATAAATAAAATCTTTAAAAAAGGTGGGGAGGACAGGACCCATGGGCAGAAAGAGCTGCACTAGAGTTGTGAGGAGTGGCTGGTTATATATACTTTCAAGTTGCGAGGTTAGATAAAGTGTGAGTCTCTAAGGAATTTTGGAAGCAAGGTTTCCAGGACCTCGAGGGGGCTAGCTGTTGTTGGGAAAAGGTTGTTTCTTACTGTCTAATATGTTAGTCATGAGACTCTTCAGATGTTATTAGTGGGCTAAATGCTTGGGGGGTGTTTGCTAACATGTATCTTGGGGGTAGAGATGAAAGAAGTTTCCAAAGGAATTTTTATATGTTAAAGGAGACTTACAGGATCCTAGAGGTTGAGATAATGTTAAGCTAATGTTGCCTTTTGCCTCTAGCTAAGTATTAACATTGAGGCAGTTGAGTGTCTAGAGGAAGGTCACTGCCTGTCTCAAGGACTTGTCAATGGGCTGGCTGTTAAGTTCTAAAGAAATATAATTTTTTCTTTCACCTTTGTTTCCCACATTGATGGAGGATAGTCAGAAGAAAGGCAGGCAGGGGTAAGCGCCCCCTTACTCCCTGTCCGTCCTAAGAGAAAACTACCCTTAAAAGGAAAAAGACCCCATCCTGTTATTCTAGGCTTTACTCAGTGGCCCAGCTTTAAGTCTTCCTACTGGGAGGATTTACAACTTGTATGTGACAGAAAGTAAAGGAATGGCCTTGGGTGTCATAACCCAGGCCTGTGGTGGGGTGGGGGGGAGCAGCTCAACAGTCAGTGGGATATTTAAGCTAAGAGCTCGATCCAGTGGCCTGTGGCTGGACAGCATGCCTTAAGGCAGTGGTAGCAACGCCTCTTGATCCCCGAGGCTACTATGAAACACCACCCCGGAAGGAGCCCTCCACCCTTTCCCACGTGAACAATTACCTGATAGGTAGATGAGCGTGTGGACAAAAACTTGATTGGGTGACAGGCACAGGGAGAGTTAATCAGATTAAAAGAGCCCACACCAAAGTAATAACCCCTAGATTTAACCGCCAAATCAGCAACCCTCTCGGGTCCCCTCCCTCTTCGGGATCTCTATAATATCGGTCAATAAACTTTGCTTTGCTGCCCACCACTCTTCGTCTGGCCTACCTCTGGCCTACCTCTTCATTCTTTGAAGACACGGTGTGACCAAGAACTGTGGGCACTAAAGGAAAAATCCTGCCACAATCTCAGTGTTCTGCTGAGCAGACACAGGGGGTAGCTGAACCTACTGGGGACCACAATTAAGCAAAGAGAGAGGGACAGTCAAAGGAAACAGGGTGGCTAGGAGAGTAGGTGCCATGTACCTGAGGAGGGCATGTGATCCATAATTCCTGAGCACCTGAGATGTGCAGAGGGCTCTGTGAGGCCCTTCACACATTTAATTTAATTTGATGGAATGGATAATGGCATTCCCAAAGATGAAGCCACTGGGCTCCTTCCTCTGAGTGCACCTTAGGTTAACAAGGTTATTTACTTAGGCAGCCAGGGGAGCAGCAAGAGGCGTCTCCTTGAAGGGACGGACATTCCTAAGATTCACTTGCGGAGAAACATTTAAGAATCTAATGTTGAAGATCGGAAACCCAAGGGGCCCCCTCAGGAAGATGGAAATGCCAGGCAGAAAAGAGACCTGCCCTGCCTGGGAGCTAAGTTACCTCCCTCTGAGGGTGTCAGCTGGGTGCAGCCCCTCCCAAACCCTTGAATTTGGGTTTGGGACTAGCGTGCAGTGCTGCAAGAATGGCCAATTCTCAAACGTGAGCGGTTTCTTCAAACCAGAAAGTGGTGGATTGAGGATTTAAAGCCAGTTTTATTTTAAAATCCACGCTGCCTACATCAGAAGGCAAAAGACACCATTCATCTTCCCAAATGTTGAATTTCCAAGGTGTGTGAACTGGAACAAATCACTTCCACTCTAGGATAAAAGGTAAGGGCTGGGCTTGTGTATCACTCGTGAAATGGGGACAGCCCTAACCAAGGATTTTTTTTTAATAAAAACTTCATTTATTTAGTTATTTTAAAAGATTTTATTTATCAATTTAACATAGAGTCAGCAAGAGAGGAAGCACAAGCCAGGGGAGAGGGAGAAGAAGGCTTCCTGCTGAGCGGGAAGCCCGATGTGGGGCTGGATCCTACGACCCCGAGATCATGACCTGAACCAAAGGTACATGCTTACCCACTGAGCCATCCAGGGACCCCAACATCTCTTAGCTTTTATTAGCTCCCCTCCTCCGGAAACACCAACCAAGACCCTGGACGCCGAGCCTGCCTTCCCACCTTGCACAAACATGGTGGAAGCTGACGTCACAGGGTGGACGGAATCCTGGGGCGGGTGTCGGGTCACCGGCCGGCTAATGCTGACGCGTATTGGCGGTCTTGCGCCTGCGCAAGGAGAGCCGCGGGCTAGGTGCGCGTGCGCACTGCGCGACAAGCCGACCGGGTTGGGACGGGGGGTGGGGCGGAGAGCCGGATCCCTGAGTGTCGTTTTCGCGAATCTGTGGGTTAGAGTTTTGGCAGCTCGGAGGGTGTGAGAGAGGAGTCGGGAAGTCTCCTGACGGCCACGGGACCAAGTTAAATAGCGGCCGGGACAGGGGTCGAAAGCGGGCGCGGCATGTCCCGGGTCCTGCGGTACTTAGAGTGAAGCGCGCCGGGAGCAGGATGGGCCGGCGTCGGGCGCCAGAGCTGTACCGGGCCCCGTTCCCGTTGTATGCGCTTCAGGTCGACCCCAGCACCGGGCTCCTCATCGCTGCAGGCGGAGGAGGCGCTGCTAAGACGGGCATAAAGAATGGCGTGGTGAGCGCTCAGGGTCACTGGGGCAGGGTCACGCCAGGGGTGATGGTGGTAGGGGGTCTGGGGGATGGCCGCACCTCAGGCTTCAGACCTTGCCTCTCCCCGGTGGGAAGCTGGGCTTTTCCGGCGCCCGGGCGCGAGTTTCAGCTAAGAACTTACTCACCAGGAACTGCTAAGGTAGAGTAAAACCAATATACAGCACCTCTTAGGCAGGAACTTAAGCTTCAACTCGACCTCAAGGGCAGCTCCAGGGGTCTTATCGTGGTCTTCTCTGGGGAGGCCACAAGGACTTTTCCCACTGCTCTCCAGCAGTGGCAGGAGTGGTGCGTTTGGCCTTTAGGCTAGGTTTCTTCACTCCTCTGAGAGTCACCCTGTTATTTTGTAAACTGGAGGTATTAATCCAACCCTGCTTGCTGTACAGATTTCTGTGGTTTGAAAGAAACAAAGAAAGGGAGAGAAGCAAGCAGACTGGAAAAAGCCTTTTAAAGTAGAAAGTGCAGTAACCAAAGGGGTAGGGCTTTAGACTATAGGATGTAAGTCTGCCCTTGAGGTGCTCTCTGGGCACCCCTAAGCCTTGCTCATCCTGGTTCTCTCTTCCACAGCACTTTCTACAGCTAGAGCAGATTAATGGGCGCCTGGGTGCCTCTTTGCTACACTCGCATGACACAGAGACACGGGCTACCATGAACTTGGCGCTGGCTGGTAACATCCTTGCCGCAGGGCAGGATGCCCACTGCCAGCTCCTGCGCTTCCAGACCCATCAGCAGAAGGGCAAAACCAAAGCAGAGAAGGCAGGTGAGAAGCTCCCTCTTTAGCTTTGGGGAAAGGGTTAAATTAGTAAGGTCACTTATGTTGGGGGGGGTACCTGGGTGTCTCAGTGGGTTAGGCCTCTGCCTTTGGCTCAGATCATGATCTCAGAGTCCTGGGATCGAGCCCCATATCGGGCTCTCTGCTGGGTGGGGAGCCTGCCTCCCCCCTCCCCCGCCTACTCATGATCTCTGTCTGTCAAATAAATAAATAAAGCCTTAAGGAAAAAAAAAAAAAGATCACTTATGTTGGTTTCTAAAAAAAAGTGGGGCTGGAAGTGTGGGTTATGGTAGCCGGCAAGAAGCCGGATGTTCAGTACTAGGGAGGAGACCAGTACTACTTACTATAGAAGCCCGGAATCTGGCAGGCTCTTTGTGTTGCAGGTTCCAAGGAGCAGGGACCTCGACAGAGGAAGGGGGCAGCTCCAGTAGAGAAGAAGTCTGGAGCTGAAACCCACCAGGAGGGGATAGAACTCACTGTAGAGAATTTGCAAGCGGTGCAGACAGACTTCAGCCCTGATCCGCTTCAGAAAGTTGTATGCTTCAACCACGATAACACCCTGCTTGCCACCGGAGGGACGGATGGCTACGTTCGTATCTGGAAGGTGTGGTTTTGGGGGTTAGGGGACCCATGTCTGTAGCAGCAAGCCCAGAATTGTGAGAAACCAAACATGGGTTCTGGGAAACTTGTGAGTGAAGCCTGCACTGGGTGGCAGAAAAGAAGATGGGTGGGGATCATGGTGGCTGGTCAGGTACTTGGGGGTAACCATGCTGGTGGTTTGGCTGCAGGTACCCAGCCTAGAGAAAGTTCTGGAGTTCAGAGCCCACGAAGGAGAGATTGAGGACCTGGCTTTGGGGCCTGATGGCAAGGTGAGGAAGTGAGAGGGTGGAGAAAGTAGGTGATTATGCTGCTTGTCCAGTAAGTGGATCCCCTAACTGTCCATCCTTGGAATCTTGATTCCTGACTAGTTGGTAACTGTAGGCTGGGACCTTAAGGCCTCCGTGTGGCAGAAGGATCAGCTGGTGACACAGCTGCACTGGCAAGAAAACGGACCCACCTTTTCTAACACGCCTTACCGCTACCAGGCCTGCAGGTGTGAGACCCCAGAGGGTAGCTAAAAGAGGCACAACCTAGATGTGGGGGAGTGGGAAAAGACTGGGGGGAAGCTGGGGAGGATTGCCGTCTTGGTGGGCTTTCCCCAGGCCTGACCAGGGTACAGGAGGGCACAGACCTCTGAGAAGGGCTGAGCGGACCCCAGGAGCTGAATGGCCTCTCGCCTGGCCCCCCAGGTTTGGGCAGGTTCCAGACCAACCCACCAGGCTGCGACTCTTCACAGTGCAGATACCCCACAAGCGTCTGCGCCAGCCCCCACCGTGCTACCTCACAGCCTGGGATGGCTCCACCTTCCTGCCCCTTCGGACCAAGCCCTGTGGCCATGAAGTCATCTCCTGCCTTAGTGTCAGGTGTGAGGCAGTGGTGGCTTGACTGGTTGCGGGATGTGTGGGGGAGCTCGGGAAGGTGTCGGGTCTGAGGCTCTGAAGACCGCTGTTAGTGAGTGTTGCTGCACAGGCCTTCAGAACAGTGACCACTTTATTGTTTGTTGCAGTGAATCGGGTACCTTCCTAGGCCTGGGCACAGTCACTGGCTCTGTTGCCATCTACATAGCTTTCTCTCTCCAGGTAAGGTGTAGAGCCCGGAGCGCTCTTCAGCGGGGGGTGGGGGGGGGCAGTGGCTATCTAGGCCTGCTTCAGTCTAAGGGTGCGGGAAGGAGTCTGGCCCAGGCCAGAGAGGGAAGGCCATCTGGGGACAGGGAGCATGTTTTCCAGAAGGAATATTTCCAACTGGGCCTTCCCTCACTAGTTCTTTTGTCTCCAGCGCCTCTACTATGTGAGGGAGGCTCATGGCATTGTCGTGACGGATGTGGCCTTTCTACCTGAGAAGGGTCGTGGCCCAGAGCTCCTTGGGTTCCATGAAACTGCCCTGTTCTCTGTGGCTGTGGATAGTCGTTGCCAGCTGCATCTGCTGCCGTCGCGGAGTGAGTCCTTGGGGTGGGCGGTACCACCCTGTCTCTAGCTGTAGCAGAAACTTGCCCCCAGCAAGTTTGTTTGTTTGTAGCCATCTGCCCCCTTCTTGAAGTCTTCTGTTCTTAGGGCTGTGAAGTTCCTTTGCCTTCTGACTTCTTTCCTTTCCCTCGTGCAGGGAGTGTTCCTGTGTGGCTGCTGCTCCTGCTGTGTGTCGGGCTTATTGTTATGACCATCGTGCTGCTCCAGACTGTCTTTCCAGGTTTTCTTTAGCCCTCCTGCTCCTGGGGAGTCAGGGGCCTGGACACTGCCATTTTCTACACCAGAGTGGAGGCCTGGACCCCGTTGCTCACCCCACCTGCATCCACGGTTGGGGTTGCTTCTCAGGAGACTGATGCGCACTGCCTGCCCTGCCCAGCGAAAGTTTGGCTGCGGCCCTGGGTGACTCTGAGTTCTGGGAGCCCTTCATTCTTCATCCGGGAAGCCGTCCAGGACAGTGGTATCTGCAGCCCAGGCCATGCCACCTGCATCCTTTTGTCTGCCTAACAGAGGCTCCAGAGTTGAGCTTGTCCTCTCTCCAGAAACATGGGAGGATGCCTAAGACCCCGGAGGTACTGCTGTCCATCAGCTGCTCTTCATGTGAGCCCCTGGTGTTTGCTGGGGCAAGCACTGGCCTGGGACTTGTAGTGAGGGAAGGAAGGGGCAAAAGGAAGACCCAAGCTGTCGTCTCTGGGTCCAGCTGGTAGCTCCAAGCCAGCTTGGCTACATATACAGTAAGTTCCTGGATGGTCTACCCAACCTTGAGGAAAGGGAAAATGAACCTCTACCCATTTTTCAGGAAAAGTTGGTATTTAATAAATAAGCGAAGATGGAATTAAGACCCTGGTGGTTCTGCTGTCAGCTCTTGCCTCTGTTGGAAGGTAAGAGGTCCCCGAGGTTGAGCAGGTCCGATGGGTGCTGGAAGACGGCTCTGGCGTACTGATGTAAAAGGCGGGTCATGTAGCAGTGCGATGTGGGGAGAGCGTTGGGCAGCCTGTATGGGAAGGGCTTGGGGAGGGATTGGAAAGGAGGTCAGGAACCTGGGCCTTTCCTAAGAGTCCAGGCTTTTTCTTCTTGGACCTCATGGCCCATTTTCCCCTAGGGCCTCTAAAGCATCCAGATTCAGGGTGCTCACTGCAGATGGTAGAGAAGGGGTCGTCAGCTGTATTGAGGCAGAGCACAGGGGTCTGGATGGCATTTACCTTGGTTCTTGGGCTAGCTGCTTGGTCGTAGGTAACACAGTCTTGATATCCAAAGGCCACAGTGGTGTAGCGCTCATCAAACTGGCAGATTGTGCAGGCCTACCTGGGTTAGGGGGTGGGGTAGAGGGTGGGGTAGGCTAGGATGAGGCTAGGGAATGAGAAGATACCGAGCAACTTTGGGCAGGGGGTGCTGGTTGAAAGACTGTACCTGTAGCACAAAGTCTACATTCACCGCCTTTTCCATCACCTTTCTGTTTCTGCAAAAGAATTCATAGAGGTTTGCCTCTGCTGGATCTGACCCTGTCTCATGAGTGAGCAAACCCAGACAGAAAACTGACCTGAGCGTGGGGAGAACCTGGTCTGTCCGCCACCCCACCTGTCTGCTGCCTCCTCCCACTTCCCAAGACCCTACCGGTTCACAGTGTGGCAGAGCTCAGCAGTGAGGCCCTGATGGAAGAGCAGTGAGTTGAGTGGGGTCTCCAGGGAGCGGGTGGTCTCAGAGGAATCCCAGCATGCAGACAGAGTCAGTGCCGCCACCAGCCCTGAAGCCTGTCCTGTTCGGGCTAGGTGGTTCAGCACTAATGTCCTGAAGGATATTAGCGGGGGCACAGGAGAGAGGAAGAGGACACGGAGGAGGAAACGAAGACTGGGCCTTTGGGGCAAGTCCAGACAACCTTTACCCTCCAAGAGAGCTGCCCACGGTCAGCAGTGGAGCTCGGGAGTAGCGGTGCTTTATGTGGTTCACGACTGTCTCCAGACCTTCAGTGTTGCTGGCAGAAAAGGCCCTGTGGGTCTGAGGCAAGCCAGATCATTGGGTAGGGAGGGAGGCCCTGGCCAGAAGGCAGAAGGATGGCAGGGACATGGAAGGAGGAAGGTAGGTAGAACCCCAGGCCCAAGGATCTGTTAAGGGAGAAGGGAGAAGGGCTACGAGGAGCGAGGCGGGCACTTACCAGCAGTTCTTCCCCACGGCAGCCCCGGTTACTAAATACAGCAGCTCTGTGGCACACACAGGTACATCCCAGCTAGAGCCTCCCCTTCTGGTAGCCTACAGAAAGACCCCAGTCAGAAGGTGCCCTTCATATAATATAGTGCCTTCTCCCCAGAGGTGTCAGGGTCTTCACTGCCTTCCCTATTACAGGTTCTCAGCCACCACCCACTTCCTCTGGACTTGACCCATCCTTACCTGTAACCATCCCTCAGAGCTTGGCTAGCCAGTTGGGAGATATAGGAGTCCTGGCTACTGCCCATGATGCTGGGAAGTAATAACACAATGGGCTGGGTAGTAGAGTCAGGGTGCTGACTGCTGCCGCGCAGGCCAGCCCAGTCTATCAGGACCTGGCCTCTCTCTGGGGTTTGGAGGACTTCACTGTGGTCTTAAAGGAAAGGGCACACAAAGAAACTTAGGATCTAGGATCTCCATATACTTTGGAAGGTTTACCTCTCTTCCCCAGTAAACAGCTCCCAAACCTTCCCATTAGCATCATTTCAGGGTATACATTATGCAAGACATTAGGATCCTAACAAAGTGTGGGGTGCCTGGGTGGCTCAGTCAGTTAAGCATCTGCCTTTGGCTCAGGTCCATGATCCCAGGGTCCTGGGATCAAGCCTGATGTCAGGCTCCCTGCTCAACGGGGAGTCTGCTGCTCCCTCTGCCCCGCCACCCTGCTCGTATTCTCTCTTTCTGTCTCTCTTTTCATAATGCTCTCTCTCTCAAATAAGTAAGTAAAATCTTAAAAAAAAAACACCAAAAAAAAAAACACAAAAAACCAAAAACCAAACATAACAAGCTGTAATGGGACATATAAGATTAAATATTACCTCATGGTTGAGCAATTAAATAGCCCTTCCATATAACCGCTCTGATTGTTATCCCCGCACACCGGGGTAGATGGGGCAAAGATTACCTTCAGGTTCAAGAAGGCAGGCAGGGGATTCCCCTGTAGTTGCAGCCTCTTGTTTACCCCCTCTGTCCCTTCTTACCTCCAGTAAGGGACTGGAGGCTGGGACTGCAGTAGGACTTGGAAGATGGTTTGTAGCCGCCCCTCAAAACACCATAGCGTAGGGTAGAAAGTCTCCAGAGTGACTGCACAGTGTTGCTCCAGGAAGGCCAAGAACCCAGTCACCAGCGGAGTCCCCTGCAACCACAACATAGTCTGCCTCACCCCCCAGCTGGTTTGTAAGGCCAGTGAGGTGCCCGACACCAGCATGACCCCCCTCCAGAGGCCAGCCTCTGGCAATGAGAAATCGAGCACACCTTGGCCCGGAATGGCCAAGTCACTACTGTGAATATAGTCCAGTGAGAGCCCACAAGTAACCTAGTCCCCAGCCTGACTCTGAACCGACTCCTTGCCAGGGCTGGGAGCTGCGGCAGCTGACTGAGTGCTAACTCTCTCACTCAGCATATCCGTGCCCCAGCCCTATTTTAGAGAGAGCAGATAAGATACATGGCCCAGCTGACTCCTTGTGGAAAGTTCGGTTAGCATCCTGGTCAGAGGCTGAAGTACGGCACCATTCAGTCTGTGACTTTTGCCCTGCAGTTGAATTATCCACACTGGCATCTTCCTAAAACCAGCCCTGGCCATTCCGTTTCCTGGCTTTGCACCGCATTGCCACATATGTTCCCTACAGCATGTGCTCACGCTCAAAGACTTTGACCACAGCGCCTCATTGTCTTAGTCATGGGGCCTGCTGTTAGAACATACTCCCAAGGAGGAACAGATTTTTCCTCTTCTTTCAAGCCAGCCAAAGCAAAGGTAACAGCGGTAGTATGACAGGGATAGATCAGTGGGGAGTTGGCCCTGACTTTTCAACGCCTCTGCTGGTTCTTCTGGACACAAATCAAGTGAATGAGAGGGCCTAGCCACATAGAAGGCTTACAAAAAAGGTATGCTATAGAAAGTCGAAAGGCCTCAGGCTCAAGAAATAGAAATTGCATTTCTGTTGTGAGCCCTAAGGATCCCTATGATCAGATTTCTAGTAGGTCTTGTGCAGGAGCAGTACTCAAAAAAGGCTAGGTAAATTATGAACTGGAGAGGCCATCTCAAGATGTGACTTGTACCCTGCTCTTGAAGCCCTGAATAATGGTGCTTGTGATTCGTTGTGTGCTATGTGCAGGTACTAGGCTAAGCCCAACCTCATGGGCTAGGATATTTATAAACAAGGAAACTATGTCAGATGAAGTCGTTTGCCCAAAGTCACACAGCAAGCAAGAGGCAAAGTGGATGGAATTTGCAATTACAGTATTACCACCAATACCAGTAAGTAAAAATTGTTGAGTGCGTATATTTCAAGCATTGTGCTAGGCACTTACATGATTATATCCTGTGATTTTCACAACAGTTCTTTGGCGTAATCCTGTGATTCCCCCATGGGAACAGGTTTGAATGTTGAGTAAGTTAGCTTGCCAAAGACCACTGGTGGCAGAGCTGGGATTCAACCCAGGTCTGACTCTAGAGCTCATGCTCTTAGTCATTGTGCTCTTTTACCTCCTCATTGCCAGGATTTTGAGTTGTTATCAATTTGTGGAATCCCTGATCAAACAGCTCAGCAGTAGAGAACAAATTAGGTCACAGGTTAATTTCATTTTAGCTCTAGTGGAGAGTTTCTTGACTAATTTTTGAGATGCCATTGGTCTCTGTGGATGAATCGATACTAGTCCATTACCATGCTGGACAATTCAAATTCCTTAGGACTTCCAGAATGCACTTTTCCTGCTATTTAACCAGTATATGGAAGTCAAGGAAGGATCTGGAATATAAAGAGGCAGAGGTCTCTGACTTCTCTGTGGCTGGTTGCAAACAGAGGAAAATGGTTAGTTAAGGAGAGTTCTGGTCTGAAATGACTGACTTTTTTTTTTTTTTTTTTTAAGATATTTATTTATTTATTTGACAGACAGAGATCACAAGTAGGCAGAAATGCAGGCAAAGAGAGAGGGGGAAGCAGCAGGGCATGTGGGACTCAATCCCAGGACCCTGGTATCATGACCTGAGCCAAAGGCAGAGGCTTTAACCCACTGAGCCACCCAGGCGTCCCTGAAATGACTGACTTTTGAAATTAGGCATAGAAGGTAAGATTTATAGGGTACTGTGGGGTTTGGTTCTTTAATTAAGGCAGACAATACATGCAAATGTAAAAAGCTCTGAAAAGCTAGGTAACATTTAAATTCCCTGTAGATCTTTTTTAAGGGCTTGAATCAGTGGGTTTTATATTAGACTCAGTTACTTAGAACAGTTTAATGAAGATTAAAAAGATTTAATTTTTCTGGATATGTAAATTTTGTATCTTATCTAAATTTCAGTGAGAAAAATCTCTTCAGAATTTTCCATTGCACCGTATATACATGGAGAGCCTAGAAGTTAAAACAGGGCAGAATGAACGACAGGGTTATCCATTAGTCCTGAGCCAGGCGGGGAACCTCCACCAGCCTTTAGGAGAGGCAAGGCCTTACTAAGCTGGTGGGGGGGTAGGAATCAGCCAGAGCCACACAGGCCTCCAGTTCCTTTATTCGGTGAGGCTAGTGAGAAACAGCTGGACTGCCTTTTTTAGAAGAGGAAAGCATCTCCCTGACACCTCAGGATGCCTTCTACCCCCCTTCCCCAAATGTTTGCCCGCATCCTCGGGGAGCAGCACCCCTCCGCTGCCTGCAAGGCCAAGCTGGTACGGGGAGCATACGGGATGCAGAGAATCTAGGCGGGCGAGGAACCGACATCCTCCGTTAGATGATCCATGATCCAGCAAAGCAGGGCTGGTGGTGGCGTGGGGGCATCAAATTTCACCTGTTGGGGAAGGCCCCATCGTGCCCCCTCCCACAAAGGGCTCGAGCCTCTGGCAGGAAGCGGCCCCTTAGGCCCGAGGATCCTGGGCCCGCACCCACCTGTGGCACATATCTCCAGTAGTAGCCCAGGCAGAGGGTGGCGCCAAGACCTAAGAGCAGGGAGAAGGGCTCTGCCCAGGTGCCATTCTGCGGGCCCTGGGAGGAGCTCGGCATCTTGGGTGGTTGGGCTCCGATCCCCAAGTCCCTGACTGGGGTTCCAGCACCCGGCCCCGCCCGTTACACGCCGTAGCCGGGCGAGTGCAGGGTCGGCCTCTGCGGCCGGCTGGTGCGGAGGTCCGGAGCCCGCCCCCTGCCGCTGGGCCCCGCGGCAGGCGTGGTGAGGGCAGACGCCGGGCTGAGCCGAGTCACCTGCAAATGGCCTCCCCGCCCCGTAACCCAAGGGGAGCACGCCTGGACGCCTCCTGCTTCCGCCTCGCGGTCACCAGCGGCGCCGCCCCTTGCGAGGACCCACGACCTCCCCACAGCCGCCATCTTGGTGAGAGCTTCCTCCCGTGCCTGCTCCAGAGCATGCCCGGCCGCGCGAGGTAGGCAGCCTGGGCGTGGTCCCCAGTCACTGGCACCCAGGACACGGCCACTCCTGCGGTGATATCCTGTGACCTTCACACTCAGGGCATGGCCACTCACCTTGTGACAACACTGCCGTCCCACCATGTTCGGCCGTTCACAGTGGCCTTCCCATACTGGACACAACCATTACCGCTGTGACACCCCCCGCTGTCACTTAGGTCTCAGCTATTGAGTGCATGGCATTCTACATAGAGTCACACACACACAGGTTACAGTCACACAATGTCACTCTGCGCTGTCTCATCTAATCCCCATCAAGGAAGGGCGATGGATATGTACTCATCACCCACTTTGTACCAGGCACTTGGGAAACCCCAGGATGCGGTTCCCTGTCATTACTGGAATGTGGAAACAAGTATGTCATCTAACAAACAGCAGTGGTTCTCAACCTTGACTGAAGATCAGAATCATCTGGGAGTTTTAAAAACTACCAGTGCCCATGCCTCGCCCCCTGCTATGTAGTTGGTCTGGAGAGGAGCCTCGGTGTTGATATAACTTCTTTCTCTGGAAGATTCAAATGTATAGTCAGGGTTGAACTCCTGCCATAGGGCACAGGGCTGGGTAAGGGAAGTAGAGCTGCAGTGAGAGCACTGAGGAGGGTGCCCAAACTCCGTGGGTCAGAGAAAGTGTACCCAGATGTTAAATGATACATTTAAGGTGAAACCAAAAAACAAGTAGGAGTTTCCCAGGCAAAGGAGAGCTGGGGAGAGAACAGTTCCAGGAGTGGAAACAGTGTAAGCGAAAGCCTGGATGTGATAGACTTCTTAAAAGAACCAAAAGAAATCTGGTGTGTCTGGAGCATACGAGATGGTCAAGAATCAGAAAGTGAGCAGCTACACAAAGGACGTTAGAGTTTAAACTAAGGGTGGAGGAAAGCCATCAAAGAGTTTTACTAAGGGGTGGGCGACATGACTAGAACTGTGTTTTAGAATTCGTTCAGGCAGCTTGGAGGATGGATTAGAGGAGGCTGAGAAAGGAAACAGGCCAGTTAAGCTGTTAAGAGAACTTTGGAATGGCAGGTGGCTGCCTGGCCTTGAGGAAGCTCCTAAGAGGAGTGAAGATCTTTAAGACAGGAGGCAGAATTGATAGGACCTGGTGGTAGACTGGAGGCTGGGGGAGAAGGAGAAATCATGAAGGACTCCCAGGTTTCTGACCGTATGACTCAGGGGTGCAAGGCTGTGCCAGTCCTTGTGACAGGGGACTGCGACAGAGCCAAGAGGAAGGAGGTTTGAGGAGAAAGAGGATTCGTTCTGACTAGACACATGTAGGTTAGTGTGCTGGTAGATGTTCTAGTTGTGTTTTCTTAGATTCTGTATTTGTCTACTTGGCATCCGTGAATCACAGGCCAAACAGCCAAAGTTGGCATCTCACCCGCAATCCAGAGCCCATACTCTGACCTGCTTCTTTAATCTAATTCTCATTCAGTAAACTAATATTTCCCCTGTCCTAGATCAACCCAGGGGCAGGTATCTGATAACTAGGGATAGTTCCTATGTCCCAAAGCCTGCCTGACTGACTCCAACTAGCCAATTTTAAACTGTCTGCCTTGCCTTGCCTTTCCCATTTAGCAAAGGCCTTGGCCTAGGTCTTCTCCCTTGCTCCTTTCTGCCCTCTACACTGGTGCCTCTCCCTGCAGTCCTGTGTGGTGAGCTGTGCCTCTAGTTTCTAGGGGAACTGTAACATTAAATGTTTCAGTGGCATTGACTTCTCCATCACCTTTATAAATTAAAATCTAGGCACAAATTAGAGGATGTTCAATTCCCAAAGTGGTCTGGGGTTTGGAGATTGGAATTTGAGATTTGATAGTCATCAGCATTTAAATGATGTATTAGTTTGCAGAGTTGCCATAACAAATTACTATACAATGGCTGTCTTAGACAACTGAAGTTTATTGTCTTACATTCTGGAGACTAGAAGTCCAAGGTTCAGAAAGATTGGTTCCTCCTGAGAGCTGGGAGGAAGCGTCTGCTCCATGCCTCTTCTCTAGCTTCCGGTGGTTTGTTGGCAATCTCTGGCCTTCTTTGGCATGTAGAAGCTTCATTCCAATTTCTGCCTGTGTCTTCACATGCTGGTCTCCCTGTGTGAGTCTATGGACCCCAGTTATATTGGAGTAGTGTGAGCCAACATGACCTCATTTTCACTATTTCCACATAAACTCACATTCTGAGGTATTGGGGATTAGGATGATAACATAGGACTTTTTTTTTTTTTTTAAAGATTTTATTTATTTGACAGAGAGAGATCACAAGCAGGCAGAGAGGCAGGTAGAGAGAGAGGAGGAAGCAGGCTCCCTGCCGAGCAGAGAGCCTGATGCGGGGCTCGATCCCAGGACCCTGAGATCATGACCTGAGCTGAAGGCAGCGGCTTAACCCACTGAGCCACCCAGGCGCCCAGGACTTTTTTTTTTTTTTAAGATTTTATTCATTTATTTGACAGAGAGACAGATCACAAGTATGCAGAGAGGTAGGTGGGGGTGTGGGGGGGTGGGAAGCCGGCTCCCTGCTGAGCAGAGAGCCCGATGTGGGGCTTGATCCCAGGACCCTGGGATCATGACCCGAGCCGAAGGCAGAGGCTTTAACCCACTGAGCCACCCAGGCGCCCCGACAACGTAGGGCTTTTTGAGGGACTCTGTTCCACCCATAACAGATAGTGATGGAAGCTACATGAACAGATGTACATATGAGCAGATGGGAAGTGAAGAGACCGCCCAGAGGAACTCGGGCACATAAAGAAAACGAAGAAGAAAATGCCAAGAGAAAGAATGGTGTTGCTGAAGCCATCGGATACCATCATTCCAGGAGGTAGTATCCAGCAGTGTCCACTACAGGAAGGAGGACAGGGTGACCTTGATGAGGGTCTGTGGTGATAGATGCTGATGGGAAGGAGCTGATGGAGAGGGAGAAGTGGAAGATTCTGGAGAGTTAAGAAGTGATTCTTTTAAAGAACTAAGACCTTGGGCCAGTGGGTGAGGATGTAGTCTGAAGTGTAGTGGAACTGGTCACTGTGACAAAAGTAGGTGACACCATTTTGACCGCAAAGCTACACTCTGTCCTGGCAAATGACTGCCACCAACGCCCTTAAGATGATCCTTTTCCCAGCCCCTCCCCAATCGAGTTTCACATGGAACCACTTCTCAGTGATGCACAGGGTCACAGCCACACGAGGACACCTTCTCTGGAAACCAGCAGTCACAGCTGTCACTTGAGCATCACAGACAACTCAGGAAGAGTTCCACCAGATACCCTGACCTGTGTCCTAGGAATATCCTCTCCTGTCACACACCAGTCCTTCACACACTGGCCATACCCTCTCAAGGCCATCTTACCTCTCTGGATACAGCGTCCCATAGGCCTACTGTCACAGGCACCTCATACACAAGGCCACAGCCAGGAGTCAAGGTCGCACCAACAGCTACACTTTGTCTTGTCCTGCACATCTGGGGGCCAGCAGGCAGGGGCATGGGCGGCACCCGCACAGTTAGACCTGCTTCTCATGAACACCAGCGTCACCATCTGCCTCTTCGTCTGTGTGTCTCTAAATGTCCGTCCTGTCTCTCAGATCACGGAGACGCAGACACACACACGCACACGCACACGCTCGCACACGCGCGGGGACCGCGGGGAGGAAGCCCGGCGGGGCCCGCGGGGGGGCTGCGGAGGGCGGCGGCCATGCCCCCGGCCGCGGGCGCTGCGGACTCTGCCCGGGCCAGGGCGGCGGCCGGCCGGAGGGCGACGTGGAGCGGCCACGTGGAGCGGCCCGGGGGAGGGCCCGGCGGGGAGCCGAGGAGCGGCCGCCGCACAGCCTCTAGCAGCCGCGAAGCCGGAGCCCAGCCCTCGCCGCGCTCGCCGCAGGTGAGTCCGCGCTCCGCGTCCCCTGGCTGCGGGACACCGGGCTGGCGGGCTGGGGGCCGCCGCCGCCGCCACCAAAGCCGGCGGGGGACGCGCGGGTCGCGGGGCGAGACCGCGGGGCCGGGGCGCCCTCCCGGCCTCTGGGTCCCCAGGCTGCAGGCGCAGCCCCTCTGCGTCCCCCCTGCGGCGTGGACGGGGTTGGAGCGGCGGCTCCCGCCTCGGGGCACTTCCCGGGAGGAGGTCCGGAGAGCAGGTAGAGGAAGATTCGCTGGAAAGCGAATCCCGAGCTCCCTATGTGTGATGATGGGGTTCCACAGTTCCCCACCCGCGGTTCCCTCCGGTGTCTCCTTTGTCGCTCTGACATCCTGGGAGGGGGTTGGGGGCTGGCAGGAGTTTCATCGTCATTTGGCAGATGAAGAAAAGGGCGGGGGGCTGGAGAGGGGCCCCAGGTTATCACCCAGCTGGAAGTGGCAAGGTGAAGGCCGGCTCTCAGGTGTGGGGCCTTTTTGGCTGTAGAACCGCTCTGTCTCCTTTTGGCGGGGGGGTGGGGGGGTGGGGGGGGTGGGTGGGGGGGTGGTGGTGTCCTGGGAGGGACAGGGGCACCAGAGGGACAAGTCAAGTGTTAGGATTCAGTTCAAAATAACTTTCGGACAGTTAGACTCAGCCAGAAACGGAAAGGATGCCCTACGAGGGGCTGGACTCCTGACCTGGAAGTCAAGCGAGGGCTGATGGCCATTGACAGGGATGCTGTGGAAGAAAGTTTTGCCCTGGATGGAAGCTACCCAAGATCAAAGGCTCCTGCCACATCCTAGATTCTCTGGAAATACTCAGGTGCCAGTCATTTACCCTGCATTATCCCATGGCTTCTTCCCCAGGCTGTTACAAGGCAGGCACCGTTATCCCAGGCTCAGAGAGGTTAAGTCACTCGCCTGGATCACACTGTCAGGACCCAGAGGCAGGATTTGATCTCAGGT